CACGTGACAGTTGCTACCTGTTTTGACAGGTTTTGATCAATGAAAATGAGAGAGCTACAATTAGAATGACTTAGTAGTCTCCTCCTCTCCTCCCAGATCTTCAGAAGAAATGATGGTAGATCTTTTTAGAGGTGGTATCAGTGAGAAGGAAAGCCTGAAGAAAAAAGAGAGATTCCTCCTTCATCCATAAATCTTGTATCTCATTGTTCTCCCACTGAGAGCTGGTCAGGCATGAGTTTCATTCTGGGGGCTACCCCAGGTGGGGCAGCGTGAAATCACAACTCAGGTGAGCTCTGGTAGCCTCCAGACTTCCTGGGAAAGGAGAAGCTAAGTATTTCAGTCACTGCAAAGGTATATGTCACTCAGTGTGGGCTGACTTAGCCTGATTTTGGTGTGTTGTCATCTCTTTGCTGCCTCAGAACATACTTCCATTTCAACAGTATGAAGTCCTGAGCACTTGAATAGGAAGCTTCCAAACCCTGTCTGAAATGCCTTGCTAAAGAGCATGGAGGGAGAACAGCCAGTGTCAGACTGTTTTTCTTACTTCTTAGACCTAGCACCCGGCACCTGGTATCTCCAGAAAATCAGATTCGTACTCAGACTTTACAGATAACAGTCCCAAATAAATAGCAGGAAAGGTAAAGCAGAGGCATATACTGTGTCCTGTGTGGGTCCTCAGTTAGAGATTATTAACTGGATTTACACTGTTTCACCTGTCTCAGGTTTCTAAACAGTCCCTTAAGTTGCCTGGTGGGAGACCTTCATCATTTGCAGAGATCTGAAGCTCTGTGAAGAGAATGTCACAGGTTAGATTGGAGGATGATTTTATGTTCGTTCTAAAATATAAATTCTCAGACTGACAAATCTATCAAACCCTTCAGGATAAGTTTGCCTAAACAGCATCAGCATACATGCCCTGCAGTATCAAGCATAGGCTTGCATCCATAGACCCAGCTGATACTTGGCATATGTAACTGTTAGAAAGGAAGGAAATAAGTGTACCCTCTGAAGATAGTACCTTCCAATTTTTTTCTGTCTCTCCCCCATCTCCTCTCTCCTTTGTTTCTTGCTCTGAGATCCTTCCCTGTCTTTCTTTCTTCCCTCTTTTTCTTTCTCCTTTCTCTCTCATTTCTTTCTTGCTTCCTTGCTTTCTTTCTTGGAAAGAAAATTCCTCTGATAGGAAGGGACTAGAATTACAACATCCCTATATGTTCCATTCCCAGGGATTATTTCATTTTCCTAACCTCACCAGCTTCTCTGGATTGCCAGCTGGGTCCCAGTGGCTGCTACCATCCCACCCAGACAGACATCAGGTGTTTTGGAGTTCTCTGTTCTCCAAACCTAGGCACATCAAAACAAAAATGCAATTCTAGTTCAGCTGAGTCAGGATTTTTTTCAAACACTTTTCAAAAAATGTTTTTACTAAGAAATTTAAAGAAAACCTTAAAAAAAAACCCTATAAAATCATGAAATAGATGTATTTATAGAATGAAATTTCTGTTTTCCAAAATAACTGAGGTCTGATAGTAGATTGATTTGTCTATTGTATTTCCTTTCCTCACTCCCATTGCTCTTGGGAGCTGAATTCTATGACTCAGACTCTATCCTGGGTTAACTTAAGTTAGTGCTACTGCTAGGTTTGGTGGGATTCTCAGTTCCCTATACCTGCCCCCCCCGCCCCCCATCTTCTCATTGGGTTTAGCCTCCCGGTTTTCCTTTCTGTTCCTGGACTGTTGTCATCCCTGCCAGTATCCTCAAACTTTGCTTTCTGAATGAGAAAAATATTTGACCCCCCCCCAACTTGATCACAGTGGATATTTTGGATTTAGACCAAGCCCCACAACCTTAACTTGCAGATAATAACATCTTTACCCTTCTTGACAGTCTCTTGGAAAATAAGTTACCAAAATTTGCCTCTTGTGCCTGACCCATTTCTGTCCTATTTGATTTAGTCATTCATTGAATATTTATTGAGTACTAGCTGTGTGCCAGGCATTGTGCTAGATATTTAACATTGCTTTACTATATAAATATTGCATGAATCCTCTTAAGGTTTAGTTCACTCTTTGAACAAACATTTATTGTATGCCTGCAATGTACTATTTCTAGTTACTGTGCTAAAACAGTTATTATTCCCGTTTTATCCCTCTGGCAAAATATACAGCTTCCAAAAATCATTCAGAAAAACACTGGTCAAACTGGGATTCTACACCATGATTTTCTTTTTAAATTTCTGGCTTATACTTCTGATATTTGGGTTAGATTAAATTCTTTACTATCAGTAAGTTATATTAAAAGAATATATTGGTTTCTATTATGCTATCATACACACATTTTAATAAACTTTATTTTGGAATAATTTTAAAATTACAGGAAAAAACGCAAAGATAATGCATAGAGTTTCTATATGCCCCTCAACCTGGTTTCTCCCCTCTTACATTACCATGGTATGTTTATTAACACTAAGAAACAGGCATTGATATGTTACTGTTAACTAAACTCCATATTTTGTTTGGGTTTCAACAGTTTATCCTTTAATGTCCTCTTTCTGTTCCCGGATCCAATTCAGAGCATCAAGTTGCATTTAGTCATATCTCACCAATGGGCTCCGGTCTATGACTCTTCCTCAAGTTTTGTTTTTCAGGACCTTGACAATCTTGAGGAGTAACTGGCAAGATACTCTCCAGAATGTACCCCAGTGTGGGTTTGTCTGATGTTTTTCTTGTGCTTAGTTTGAGATCATGAATTTCTGAAAGTACACGACAGAGATGACGTGCCCTTCTTACCAGACCATACCAGGGGTTACATGACATCACTGGTGATACTCACCTTTGTTGCTTGGTTGAAGTAGATTTGCCAGGATTCTTTACTGTTAAGTTACTGTTTTTCTCTTTTGCTACTCTATGGAGATAAGTCTAACTTACTCTCAGTGATAATGGGAACTAAACTCCACCTCCTAAAGAAGAGAGTATCTGCACATATTATTTGAAATTGTTCTGTTAGATTTTTCTCTTCTCCCCATTAACCTCTAGTCTAAAACCTGTGTTTTTTATACTCTTCTTCTTGTTCAGTCGCTAAGTCATGTCCATCTCTTTGCAACCCTGTGAACTGTAAGACACCAGGCTTCTCTGTCTGTGCTTTTCTGTCCATCACTATCTCCTGGAGTTTGCTCAAACTCATGTCCATTGAGTCAGTGATACCATCCAACCATCTCATCCTCTGTCACCCTGTTCTCCTCTTACCTTCAGTTTTTCCCAGCTTCGGGGTCTTTTCCAGTAAGTCAGCTCTTCACATCAAGTGGCCAAAGTATTGGAGCTTTAGCTTCAGCATCAGTCCTTCCAATGAATATTCAGGGTTGATTTCCTTTAGGATTGGTTGGTTTGATCTCCTTGCTGTCCAAGGGACTCTTCAGAGTCTTCTCCAGCACCACAGTTTGAAAGCATAAATTCTTTGGTGCTCAGCCTTCTTTATGGTCCAACTCTCAAATCCATACATGACTATTGGTTTTCTACTCTACCAGATAAAAAATCACAAAGATCTATACTAAAGCATTGGTTTCAGGGAAATTTATTTCAGATTTCAGAGGTTTTTAGGAAATATATTTGATGTGACTTGGTGACCCTAAAGAGAGAATGTTTAAAAACAACGTTCAGATTTTGGTTTGAATGCTGGAAATAAAATTTTGGTTCAAAATATTAACTAACAAATATGATGGTTGTAGGCTTCGGGAAATCTTAGGTTCTTCAGCGACTGTATTCAACCCACATGTTGGTCCAGCTTCATAGAATGCCCTGTTCTCCCGAGTAAGAGCAGAACAAAGTTTTTTTTTTCTCTTCTCTTTTTTTTTTTTTAATTTATTTTTTTTCCATTTATTTTTATTAGTTGGAGGCTAATTACTTTACATCATTGCAGTGGTTTTTGTCATACATTGAAATGAATTAGCCATGGATTTACATGTATTCCCCATCCTGGTCCCCCCTCCCACCTCCCTCTCCACCCGATCCCTCTGGGTCTTCCCAGTGCACCAGGCCCGAGCACTTGTCTCATGCACCCAACCTGGGCTGGTGATCTGTTTCACCCTAGATAATATACGTGTTTCAATGCTGTTCTCTTGAAACATCCCACCCTCGCCTCTCCCAGAGTCCACAAGTCTGTTCTATACATCTGTGTCTCTTTTTCTGTTTTGCATATAGGGTTATCGTTACCATCTTTCTAAATTCCATATATATGTGTTAGTATACTGTAATGGTCTTTATCTTTCTGGCTTACTTCGCTCTGTATAATGGGCTCCAGTTCCATCCATCTCATTAGAACTGATTCAGATGAATTCTTTTTAATGGCTGAGTAATATTCCATGGTGTATATGTACCACAGCTTCCTCATCCATTGGTCTGCTGATGGGCATCTAGGTTTGCTTCCATGTCCTGGCTATTATAAACAGTGCTGCGATGAACATTGGGGTGCACGTGTCTCTTTCAGATCTGGTTTCCTTGGTGTGTATGCCCAGAAGTGGGATTGCTGGGTCATATGGCAGTTCTATTTCCAGCTTTTTAAGAAATCTCCACACTGTTTTCCATAGTGGCTGTACTAATTTGCATTCCCACCAACAGTGTAAGAGGGTTCCCTTTTCTCCACACCCTCTCCAGCTCTCTTCTCTGACTGAAACACAAGGGCCTCCTGGTGGACAGCCCTCTGAGCCCTGTTTCTCATCTGAAGGATGCTAGGTTTTGACTTTTGTTTGGTTGTGAGATTTTCCCTTAGTTCATTTACAGAGCAGGCATACTTGATTCTCTTCTCTGTCTAATAAGTTATTAAACCTCTCCCATTTTAGAGTAATCACTTCACCCCATGTGACCTCATGTTCATAAGAGGACAGTTACCTTCTGAGAGTCACACCCATGGTCTCATACTCTAAATCAGAGGGTAGCTGATACTTGTTTTTAACTCATTTATCCTCTTATTCCATCTGGTACTGTATTAATGTTAATTCTCTGTTTCAGAGCCATCATCAACCACTTTAACCCCAAAATTGAATCCTACGCTGCTGTGAATCACATATCCCAACTGTCGGAGGAGCAGGTAAGCCTCTACTTTCCTCAGAGTGGCCCTAGTTGGTGGCCAGCATCAAGTCCTCTCAGATGGCAGGGGGATTGTGTGACTGAGCTTCTAGTGGGAGTGGCAAGAGCCAGGCTGCTAAGAGGAATTAGTAAGGGATTTGTTGATAGTACTTTAATTAGAATGATGGCTTCTGCTTTTGTGCCATATGAAGGGTTCATTTAATTATGTAAAAAATAATGTAGGTGAAATTTTGGTGAATTGTTATTTTAGTGTGGGTGATAAGGCATTTCTTTTTTTAAAATTTTAGGCAGAGAGTCATTTTGACTTTTGAAAATAAGAAATGAAAACTTAGAAATGGTTGAAACTTCCAGTTAGAAAAACCGAGTTCAGCTTAATTTGATGTTGTTTGGCTCCTTAAAATATGAACCCTCCTTGGGGCAGATTTGCCTAAGAATTGAGTTCTACGTGCCTTGAGAAGTTATTTCTGAGCAGGTTTTTCTGTGGCATGACCTGTGGCACATACAGATAGTGTTGTGTGTTCATTTTCCTTGAGTCTGGCCTGATTTCCTCTTTTCCCAAAGAAAAGAGCCCTGAGTTCTGCATTATATAAAAGTAAGATGGGGCTTTAGCATAGCATGGTATTGAACTTGATGTTTCAGAACAAGACTCTGAGTCTTGTTTTCAAAAGCACAAAATGAGACATATATTCATACAGTCTCCCTTCCTTCTCACTCTACTCCCTAGTTGAAAGGCCTGGGTATTCATGAGGTGAGAGTCCAAGTATAGGCTCCAGGCCAATTAAAAAAAACAAAATCGCCTATGCTCTGCTTTCCCTTTTTTGGCCTTTGCATCAGTGTAACCCTTCTGTGAGCCTCTTGCTGGCAGGGCCAGCTAGCCAGGTGTGGTGTGATTGTGTGTTCAGTGTTCCTAAAAGCTATTCCACTGGCCAAATGAGGCACCAAAGCAAGCCTTTGCCTAACAGACAGCTTCTCAGTATTCTCACCAGTGGCTCTTTCCTCAGCCAGATGGATAGAACTCAATTAGTCTATCAGTTATTCCCTTTGACATATTTATTCTCCTTTGTGAGGCCAGCTGTGGGAATCCATCCTCTTATTTAAACCACTTTGATAAGTGGCTTTCATTTTCTTTTTTCCTCTTCTGCCTATGGAGCAACCCTAAGTCCTATTCAGGACTTTGATGCCACTGCTCTCTGTGAGGTGCTTCAACATCCTACCTTTTTCCTGGTGAACCAGTTCAGATCAGTTTTGTTATATCGTTTTTATGCAAAAGAATTCAAAATCTTGAGCTTTGTATAGTGAAAGAAAGGGTGATTTTCCTATCACAGTGAGCTCTGTTTAGTCTAAAAGCTTTTTTTTTAAAAAAAAAAAAAGAGGAAGACACATTTTTTCCCATTCAGCCACGTGCAGTATTCATCCCCCAGCAGCTTGGGAAGGTCAGGCTGAAATCTTTCTACAGCAGTAGCAGCCACAGACCAATAATAAAATTCCGTTCTGGCGCATGAGGCAATCTGGAAAAGGATGATTAGCAAGCACGTGTCCTCACCCCCTCTCCAACTTCTTTCAGAGTTAAATGAAGTGATGAAAGTGCCTCTCAGAAAGCATCCACAAGCCAGAGATGAGGCGACTTCTATAGAGTGGGAGAATACACAGCCCTATTTGAAAATGAGGAAGGGGAAGCAGCTGTCAAAGATTTCTTTTCTTAATAAATAATATTGCATATCTGCTGTGTACAAAGAGTGGTGCTGGGTAGTAGGGATCATTAGTGAATAATCTTAAGTGTAGTCCGTACTGTCATGGAGTTTGTTTATACTCACCTTTCTTAGCAATCCTTTTCAGTTGGGTACTGATGGAAGGGTTATTCTATTCTGGGACCCTTTTTGAAACTGCCCTCAAAATAGTTGTTGCTTCTCTTCCCTAACTGACTCTGAAGGACAATAAATGACAGCATTAGAGTACACTTGGTTTTATTCTCAGCACTATCAGGTTAGAAGTATTTTGACTCCTTATTAATCTCCAGCATGTATTGGAGCACTTCTTTCCCTTCACTTCATGCTGATATCAGTAATGTTAAGTGTATTCACAGCTTCCTAAAGAACTGGGTTTGGGATGCAATAGGCCCTGTGGGGACTTCCCTTTCGGTCAAGTGGTTAAGACTCCTCACTTCCAATGCAGGGGGCACGGGTTTGATTTCTTGTCAGGGAACTTGCCCCCCCCCCAAAAAAAAAATAGGACCCGCACTTGTTAGCAGCAAACTAAGTAGAAAGAAGAAATATCCCCAAGTAGGTTCTAAAGTACTATTAAAGTAAACCTAAAGACCATGGATAGGCATTAAATGGGGTTTAGTGAGCTTAGTAAAACAGCAGATAAGAGAGGGCTCTTCGCTAGATCTGCCTGCTCAGGCTGCCATTTTCTTCTGGCAAGAGATGTATGGCTTTTTGAGTTCTGACAACCCCCAGACACATTCTAGCAGTCTGTTTGAGGCATTTCAAGATGATACTTGTAAATCCATTATTGCTTATCAAACAGAGCCCAAACTCTCACACTGGGGTTTATTTTCAGGTGTCCAGATGATAGATGACATTTTTTGTTACTTCTCATTGGCTTCATGGAGAGCAAAGTTTTTTAATCAGTTAATACCCTCAGTGTGACTGAATGGTCATGCATTTTCTAGTGTAATAAACTGCATGCATTTTTACATTGTACACACAGGAGTCATATTTGTCTGGGGTTCATTGTGAACCTTGTACATATTAACTCTTTTTGTGTGAGTGTGGTAAAATATACATAGAATTTACCAATTGAACAATTTTTAAGTGTACAGTTCAGTGGTGTTAAGTACATTCACATTGTTGTAACCATCACTGCTATCCTTCTCCAGAACTTTCTCATCATTGCACGCTGAAATGCTATACCCATTTTAAACAGTAACTCATTTCCCCTCCCCCCAGCCCCTGGTAATCACTCTTCTACTGTTTGTCTCTGTGTGGGAGCCTGGCAGGCTACAGTCCATGGGGTCGCAAAAGAGTTGGACACAGCTTAACAACAAAACTTATTGTTGTTAAACAACAATCTGACTCCTCTAAGGGTCTCACAGAAAGCAGAATCATGCAATGTTTGTCCTTTTGTTTATGGAGAAGGAAATGACAATCCCAGTTTTCTTGACTGAGAATCCCATGGAGAGAGGAGCCTTGCAGGCTACAGTCCATAGAGTCGCAAAGCTTCAGACACAACTGAAGTGACTTAACCTGCTCATATCTGGTTTATTTCTTTTAGCATAATGTCTTCAATGTTGTAACATATATCAGAATTTCATTCCTTTCGAAGGTGAATGATATTCCATTGATGTGTATAGCACATTTTGTTTATCCTTCTGTCCATCAACAGACATTTGGGTTGCTTCCACCTTGTGGCTACTGTGAAGAATGCTGTGAAATTGGTGTTTGAGTCCCTGTTTTCAGTTCTTTTGTGTATATACCGAGAAATGGAACTGCTGGATCAAATGGGAATTAATTCTGTGTTTAATTTTTTGAGAAGCTATCATAGTGTTTCCCACATTGGTCGCACCTAAAATATAAAATTATTCCAATTTTTCCTGTTTTTTGATAATAGCCATCCTAATGAGGGTGAAGTAGTATCTCATTGTGGCTTTAATTGTTATTTCCTAGTCATTATTAATGTTGAGCATCTTTTTATATGTTTATTGACCACTCTTTATCTTCTTTGGAGAAATTCTATTCAGGCCCCTTGCACATTTTTTAATTGGGTTGTTTGGATTTTTGTTGTTGAATTTTAAAAATTCTTTATATACTCTATAGATATTTATCCTTCATCAGACATGGTGATTTGCAAACACTTTCTCCCATTCTCTGTGTTGCCTTTTATAGTTTTAGCTTTTACATTTAGGTCTTTGATTCATTTTAAATTAATTTTTGTATATGGTGTTTGGTAAGGGCACTTTGACCTCTTTTTGTATTTCACATATCTTTATGAATAAAATTTATGGAGAAGGGAAAACTTGCTTTTCCAAGAACTGTGAAACTATTCTCAGTTTATTCCCTTCTGGATTGGCTTGTCTTTAGTACATCTTTTAAAAATTGTCCTTCAAGGCCCTTGCCCACCATTAGCTGGGATTTAGCTCCTTTCTCTTCTCAGTATGGCTTGTTGGTAAGCATCTATCTCTAGCCGGTAGAATAATTTGTTATGATCCTGTCCCTACCAGTGACATCCACCCTGTTTTCATTTTCCCACAAGGATAGCTGAGTCTCACTCTCAAAACCTGCAGGACTCTCATAGATAAATCTCAATGACCCTTTTGTTTCTACTAAATAAATGTGGATGGGAGGGATTTAAGAGAAACTCTGGGCCCCAGCCTAAGTCTTGGGTTTGGATGCTTTGAGGATATCTTGTCTTGATGATTCAGTGCTCCCTTCAGGTAAGTATGTTGGAATTGAAGAGCTCTTCAGGGGGTTCTCCTCCCTATCTTGTCCTACTTTAAATGCTGATATACTCTGTCTCCTTCATTCCTGTTTCGAATTAAGAAAAAAATTTATTATTGCTGGCTACATCCTGCTAGAAATGGATCTACACACTAGCTCATCATTTGTTTTTTTAACTCGTCGTTTTTTTAATCCAAAGTCCAAGCATAGGCTTTAGAAAATTATTGCACATTCTGAAATTGTGCAAAATTATGTATATGTCCTTTTTTTCCCCCACTTGAAAAGGGTCCATCTTTCTTAAAATTCTCAACCAGTCTTTGGCCCCTTCAACATACAAAGTTTTGTGGAAAATCACTGGCTTAGTTGACTTGAATAGTACCTCATACCTTCCTTGACCCCAAAGCCATCAGACCTTTGGAAATGCCCTTTGAGGATCTTAAGCTCCTTTTAGACTATTTGCTATTTATTTTGGTTTGCAAATGCTATGACACTGACTTATATCAGCTCTAATTTACTTATACCAAAGAGAGCTTCATAGCAGAACTTTACAGAAAGATTCTCTAGA